TGATAGATAGCGCATAGTAGTTATAGTAGTCAAATAGCATAACGTTTCTGTAATACCAATACATCTTCTAGTAAATCTGCATTTGTCTCCAAATCCAAAACGTGTTAATCCCACCATAATCAGTACGTCCCACACAGCTCAGTAGCATCTCTAGTTGCAAGTATAGCACACCCTGTACCAGGTCAGTCAAAAGAAACAGTCCTTGTAATGGTTACATTACAGGCAGTGCCGGCCCGAAGGCAAACTAATAAAGTCCAGTCACTGTGAGACACATTACAAGTGACGGAGCTATAGGAGAACAGCTGCTGTGGTGTGGTGCTGGCTGACGGAGGTTAGATGTTAGAGAACGGGCGCTTTGTCGGCAGACTGAACTTACTGAACGGAAGTGTTTGTTCACATTTCAAAATGCACCCTTAGCTACAGCCATGCCCTGTCACTCATGGTAGGTCGGAATGCCGGCCAAAGCTTTTGCCTGTATTTATTGTATTTACGTTACGTTGCTGTAGTAACATATACAATAATATTTATATATATTTTGGTTCACACTACATACCTTGGTCACTCCTTTCAGTAATGCTGTAATTAGAACAAATGTTCGTTCGTTCCTTCGTTCGTTCGTTCGTTCGTTCGTGCGTGCGTGAGGGGGGATAGGGTGGGGTGGGAGGGAGGGTAGTTAGACTCTTGGGCTGAAAGCAAGCAAAGATGCTCGAGTTGGGTCACAAGCTACACAGGCTAGATATACAGTTAGTATGTCATATCGACCCTGAAACAAATGCAGCCATGAAAGTCTCACAAGTCTATATTAGCACCAAATGAATCTAGAGGGAGGGGTTGTGGAAACGGGTGAAAATGAACTGTGCAAATCCCCACCCCCACCCCATTTTCTCAAAAGCTGTATCCACCCCTGAGCACAGTTTTAGTTCAGGGAAGAGAGTTTTGGGGTTCCTTGTATTATAATTTATAAATCAGGAACTGTTCTTTCCCTTTCCAGTATTTTCATTTCACACTCTATTTGTCGGTCGAGGAAATACTATATAATCCATGTCAACTTGTCGGTCATGTACACACAGGAGAACAGGCAATATGAAATGGCGAAATCGACGCAGACGTGTTTCCCGTCGACCTTAGGGTAATCACCAAAGTATGAAGTGGCTGTATTTTGACATGTGATATGTGACAAGGTGCACCGTTCAAGCATGATAATTCCACTCAATCGTGTCTTGCTTTCGCACGGCTCTGGTAACGCGTTAGACTGATCTACTACGTCATATATGTAAGTGTGTACTGTAGACTGACCTACTACGTCATGTATGTAAATGTGTACTGTAGACTGACCCACTACGTCATGTATGTAAGTGTGTACTGTAGACTGACCCACTACGTCATGTATGTAAGTGTGTACTGTAGACTGACCCACTACGTCATGTATGTAAGTGTGTACTGTAGACTGATCTACTACGTCATATATGTAAGTGTGTACTGTAGACTGACCTACTACGTCATGTATGTAAGTGTGTACTGTAGACTGACCCACTACGTCATGTATGTTAGTATGTACTGTAGACTGACCCACTACGTCATGTATGTAAGTGTGTACTGTAGACTGACCCACTACGTCATGTATGTAAGTATTTACTGTAGACTGACCTACTGCGACATGTATGTAAGTGTGTACTGTAGACTGACCTAATGCGTCATGTATGTAAGTGTGTACTGTAGACTGACCCACTACGTCATGTATGTAAGTGTGTACTGTAGACTGAACTACTACGTCATGTACGTGAGTATGTACTGTAGACTGACCCACTACGTCATGTATGTAAGTGTGTACTGTAGACTGACCCACTACGTCATGTATGTAAGTGTGTACTGTAGACTGACCTACTACTTCATGTACGTGAGTATGTACTGTAGACTGACCCACTATACCATGTATGTGTCCTCTGTGAAAATAAATTTTGGAATGGAGTGAAACTAACACCGAAAATAAAGGAATAAACTATATTAGGACATAATATAAGGTATAACCAGAAGGCAAAGTCATCAATATCCCCCGCAGTTGCAAAATACTCTTCATGAATATGTCAGTTGGTTATGACTAGGTTAGATGTTTTGGCGCGTACATCAGTAGGTGAGTGAGTGAGTGATATTCCAGGTACATGGCGGCGGTCTGTAAATAATCGAATCTGGACCAGACAATCCAGTGACCAACAGCATCAGCATCGATCTACGCAACTGGGATACAATGAGAAGTGTCGACCAAGTCAGTGACTATATTACAAATTGTAAAGAGAATACTGAAAGGTTTTAAAGTTCCGCATCAGAAAAGAGCACTACCAGTAATTCAGTCGAAGTCAAATTTGTTGCCATGGAAACGCAAAATATATTTTATTGTGAAATCCAAAATTGCCAACAGGCACCAGTTCACCACCAGACCAAACTATGTAGCTATTGTAATGAAGCAACATTGAACGGTTGTAAAGTTCTGCTCCGGGAAAGACAAATGTGCACGGACGGACGGACGGACGGACGGGGTCCATTTTAAACCCTCGCAAAACGCGTTGCGGAGGAAAAAAACAGCCATTATGAGTTTGTCATACGTATAATTATGCATCGAACAGCATAATTATATTCTGACTGGGATATTTTGACATGATATAATAATGACGGACAGAGACACAGACAGACAGACAGTGTTTTATTTTGTATAAAGGTCCCAAGACCCATGGTACAAAGTCTGTTTGTTTGCAGCTTGCATAGGGAAAGGAAGTGGCAGTTACAGTAACATGCAGTAGGAAAATACACGTTACAGATCAGTTTACAATTATTACATGAACATCTGGAGATATGCGGAAACGTCTTAAGTAAATGTTAATGACCATGTTTAAAGTATCATTAATTAATTCTCATTTCATGATACACGACGTGCACTTCATCTTCAATAGCATAATTGTGATTGCATAGAATAATTTCATCAATGTAAGTGGTAAAACTGCTTGGAACTAACTATATACGTTGTTAACAGCCCTTTATATTGAAAATCTATGTTAAATAGAACATATTTTTCCACAGGTAAATTTAGATTTTGTTTAGATATATAAATGGCAATCAAGTTACATATATAGATCCTATGTAGTTCCAGAAAAAACTGTTACTGAACCTCTCAACAGTTTTACTTCCGGGTCAGCTACAGCTGACATAAAACTAAAGGCAGCAACACCAAAACTAAATCGATAAAGCAAAAAGTAGAACATATTTGTCACAGGTCCGCCAAGATGTTGTGATATTTATAAACTCAAAAGAATCTAGAGATCACTACTCTCCTAGAAAGAACAGTATTTTCTAACTTCTCGGCGGACTTAGATAGAATATATTTGAATCACCTAGTTCACATAATTCAGGCAACACCAAAACCTAATCGATAAAGCAAATTTACAACAGAATTGTTCAGGTGGACGATTTCCCTGTGCACGGTAAACAGCAAAACCTGTCAGGATTGATACCAATGTTTATTCCAATGCATATTAAATAACATCAGCTAATACCTAGCATATCTTACACAATGAACATCAGACATGTCATCATATACATACAATATAGAAATATAGAAAGTCAATGCATGCATTTATCAGATAAGTCAACCAGTCCACATGGCACCGCAAAGTAGTTGAATACAAACAGTTCGTCGCCTGAAAACCAGAGTGTACTAAGTCACAAAAACCTATTTTCGAGAAATTCGATATTGAAGTTTAGGACAACAATATCTTCTTCACTTTTCAATCGAATTCTTTCAAATTTTGCACATGCATGTGACATGTTAAACAGGATCAGAAGATATCAAATTATATGCTCAATCTATTGAAATAAATAAGAAATTAACGAAAAATGATTGGAGATAGAACACTTGACCAAAGAAAATCGTGATTTTTCTCAAAACCAAAGTGTTCTAGTGTCAAAAAACACAGCTAAAACTCAGCTTTATTATTATTATATCAATATCTGATTGTTATTTCCTTTTTACCAGGATGTATTTTTGTCGTTTAAACCTGTTTTTCTTTCATAAGGACTATATTTAATTAGATAAAGCAGAAATAAGAACAGAGTTAAAATGTTCCATTTCCATGATGACAATCACTTCAAAATTGGTAAATCTCAATGTCACGTGATCAAATTGTGCTTGCCCATTGGTCAATTGACAACTTAAAACACTCGAAAATTAACAACATGTGATTTCCATGGAGATAGAACAAAGTTTCTGTTTGAAAAAAACACTTTCAAAGCTAGATAACACTGTAAACAGTTGCTAGAGTAATAAATTATGCTCTAAAACCTACCCTGAGCATACTAACTCTAATTTTGTCAAAAGTGGACTTAGAACACTCTGGTTTTCAGGCGACGAGTTCTCTAAAGCGGGATTCTGGTGATAATTTTTCCCCTGGTTAAGCCTTGTAATTTACTGGAGGAGTGGACAGATCTGTGACACACAATGGGGTTGGACTTTAGGTGTTGTATATCAACTCATGTCATATTGACCAAAAATAAAGCCTGGTATTAACATTGGCGTGGAACTCTAAGACTGGCATATCCATCTCTACACACCCCATTGTCAGAGGTAGACCCAGTGTTTCACGACAGTAACTCACACACAACTTTCAATTTTCAATGTTGTAAATGTACATCGGGGGCCATGTTGTAATGAGCTCTGTGACATGGTAGGATTGTACATTACACATTATTTGTGTAGATACATGGACCAAGGAAAACCACAAAGTAAACCCTCTGTGGGGAATTTAAATTATTTCCAAACACAACAGGACTGATTAGAATATAGACACAGACAGTTTCGTAACTACATTTCTCTCCTGACACAAGTACCATGACGCATTTAAACTAGGACATTCTATGTCCGCTTCAATCACTTTCATTGTCTAACTGAACTGACATCAACATGTCAATCTCACAGCTACAAATATTATATTTCAATCTCTAGCCTCCACATATGGGTATTTATATTATTTATTTCACAGAAGAAAAACAAAATATGTCAAGATATTCATGACTTGAAACAACTTTTTACTCAACCATCAACTCAGTTGTTAGTTGTGACATGTCCCAGAAATGTATGAAATGTTTCATAAACTAATCAGTTATAACATAATAATAATCATAACAATAATCCTGTGTGGATGTAAAATGCTGCTAGTACACAAATGAAAACTGTCCTGTAGAAAACCGACATATTTAGCTAACCTAGTTACATTGTTGTACACAACATACAACACATGAACAGGTAACTTCTATGTCCGCTTCTTTCAGTTCTGTTGTATTGAATTTGTCTGATAAAGTTGATGTGTGATATTTACAAGTTTACACTGGGTCATGTGTAGTTTATTTCTTAGGCCAGGACTTCATTAATGAGTGATTTCTTGATGTCAGACATGAGGATCTCCTCCCAACTGACCACCTTCATGTTTACTGTGCAGCCACTGAAAGGATGGACAGCAAACACAGGGAGAAGATCCTCCTTGAACTCCACATCAACTTTCCCTAAAACAGCCGACCTGTCTACGTCAATAAATCCTATTCTACCCCTCCCGACATCCAACACAACGCCATAGTGGAGGGTGGCCTGTGTACCGGGTTTGTTAGACATTGTGTTTCTGTAACACTTCCCCCGCTCCCCCGCCAGACACACCTTGGTACAGAGACTCCCCCGGTGTGTGTCACAGCTCACTACACTGACACACCAGGAGCGGGGCTGGTAACAAACACACCACCCACTGTCTACCTGGCTCTCCTCCCCCATACCCACCTCCAGGACAGGCCACCCCAACACTCCATCCACCACACCCACCCTGGTGTGGGTCTCCCAGTATCGTGTTGTGTGGGGGACATAGGTGACACTAGAGGGGGATGGAGGAAGGGGGATGGGGGTGGAGCTACACGTGTGCCCATCAATGCCTGTAGACTGCCACTGTCCGTGTGTTGTGTGGCGGGCCGCGAGTTGGCCAGCTCCCCGTCTGTAGTAACATGGCAGTAGTCTGTGTTGACTCGACCAGCGTCCAGTTGGAGTTTAGGACCTGGAAATATACAATTGTTATTTTACTGAGTTTAGCAACTGTATTTCCTACAATATATCATTGTATTGTTTGTTCCGTGTCGGTGATTCCAAAACAGCGCACTACATGTTCGGCTGCCATTTTCGTCCGTCTGTAAATACAGCGATACCCGTGCCCTAGATAGTAATAATAACGATATGATACTATCCAGATGGGTATTTAAATTGTTTGTCATACATTTCTACATGCATTGGTAAACAAATAAACACTGGTTTAAATATTTTTTTCACCCAGCTGAGTTTGACCTATTTTGTTGTGACGGCGGTCAGAAATAGACACTACTGCTGCCTAATTAAGGGATTATTTCAACATCATTTCACTATAAATCTATAACCATAGGTATTCTAAACTCATATCACACAAAATAGTAAAGAGTGAGACAGATAGTATTGCTGTTTGCCGATATTTTTACATTTGAGTGTTTAACAGACAGAACGTGAACCGGTAACTTCTACGTCCGCTTCAATCACTGAACACAGTTTCACGACACTCGCTGTGTGGGGAAGGTAATTGTCCGGTCGTGTGTGTTGATTAAGATACGTATTTGTGAATGGTATGGATAATAAACGATTTAATTAAATATATATAAATACTGCAGCATAGCAATAATCAATACATTTTAAGTTAAACACACATATACATATTTCACCCTGCAGACTGAAGAAAACTGCAGATTCAAAATTGATCTAGTTTGGGGGCGTTTGTCCGTAAGAGTTGAATTGAAACAATTTTTAGACAAGGTCAGTATATAACCATTTCCAATCTATTTACTGGTTCTGCAGTTCTCTTATAACATCATATACTAAAGCAGCATGTTTGGGCACAATTTATCCTTCTTTGGACCACTGAAACTACTGATTTTGAAAATAACGAAATGGTTAAAATGAGGTCTTATAAATGATGCACATTCACATCTGTTGGGTGGTGGCTGGTTGGTTTGTTGCTTAACGCCGCACTCGGCAATATTCCAGCTCTATGGCGGTCTTTAAATATTCGAGTCTGGACTAGACACTCTAGTGATGAACAGCATGAGCATCGATCTACACAACTGGGATACGACGACATGTGTCAACGACGTCAGCGAGCCTGACCACCCCATTCCGTCAGCCGCCCCTTACGACAAGCATAGATTACCGAAGACCAATTCAAAGCCGGATCTTCACAGGTGTGGGGCGGTGGTGCAGACGAGTAAATGCGTGAAGAGTTCCCTCGTCAAGGCGGTGGCCGGACCACCAGATTCAAACTGCTGAAATCCGGATCTTCACCAGCTCGGGTAGGAAAGGCTCGCGGATGCTTTGCAAGGAGTGTTAAGGGTCAGTCAGGTCACTCTTGCATCCAACAGTGAGGTGAGGTGAGGTAAGGTGAAATTGGGTTTAACGTCGTGCTTGAGAATATTTCGCTCATATGACGACGTGCATGCGTGTGTATGTGTATGTGCGGCTTCTTGTACTAGCCCAGACGGAAGCTGTTTTTATAGTGCTAACCCACTGAGATACCATGTTGCAGTGAAGCATGAATACCCCACTAAGACACATAATACTGACTCCGAGCCGACCAGTCCTTGATGTACCCATTAATGCCGAGCGCCAGGCAGGGACCAACAAGTACCATATTTTAACGTCTTTTGGTATGACGAGGTCGGGGATCGAAACCGCGACCTTCCGCTCTCCGGGCGGACGCTCTAACCACTACACCACGGAGGCGGTCGCATCCAACAGTGAGTGAAAAGGGCACATCCACAAGAAATCTATCTGGAGCAGAATCTAAATATATTTCATTCAAAATGTTTGAGAAAGAGTGAGTATAATCCCATCACAAAAAACGTAACATTGTTCTACACGATAATTATAACAGACAAAGGGACAGTATTAATGTGCCTGGATATGAACGTCATAGAAGCGGACAAGAACTATTATTATATTATTATTACAATGTTAAAAGGTCATCATTTCTCCTGGCTTCATCGGATTTTGTGAGATCCAACCCGTTATTGGCCTTCATTTGGCGAGTAACCAGTCAGGGATGCCCCAAAATATATCAGTGATAATCATGATTATGATATAACAAATGTGATATCGGATATATCAAGACCTTTTTCGAGTGAGTTATCTATCATCATGAAACCCCCCCAAAAATTATGTCTGATATAGGATTGTGTGAAGTGCACGAAACTACATGATGCGTCATTAATGAAGTTGGGTGTCGAGCTACAATCTCCAACAGAGGTCTGTATTTCATAGTATACTCGTGATGATTGAAATTTACTTACAGATGATGAAATTAACACTGCGGTCCGGTCTTATGACGTGCAATGTGACATAGCCTGTTAAAGAAGAGGTTAAAACATCACAATGACACATTTGTTTCTGAACATAGATAAGATATGAAATAATTGTTACATGATATTTCGTCAGTGGGTTGTGGTTCAACCGCCTTTACATATTTTAAGTCATACCATAGAGCGTCGAGGTGATGTGGTTATGGCATAAGTTGATGGAAGTCATCACAGATAATTGTTGTAACATCAACAACAGTGTGATGCACAGACTGGAATCGTCAACTTAAATGAATTAAACAGTTCAAGCATGCAGTTGTTGAAAACTCTATTTTCGTTTTAAGCTGATACACGTTTCACAGACATGTGTAATTAGGTTTTGGAACATCAGGAATGCCTGTTTTCTTGCCTTTGTGACAAAATGTGAAATTCCATGTTTTCCAAGTCTAAATTAAACAGCAGTTACTAAACTGCATCATGAATCTGTGGTTTTGTAGGTATGAATATTTATTGAATAACTAGTTCTGTTATGGGAACTCAATTGAAATGTAAAACCCGATCGTCTCTGCTGAAAGAGATTTCATTGGGTCCTCAAGACAAAATGTTATGAACGGCTTGATGAAGATCAATGAGGGTACCTGTTCGCGAACAGAGAGAGCGGGTTATGTCCTACTGGTAGAACGAAAATAAACCAGATTGTACATACCTTGAAACGTAATACCACGTGGATTTGTCTCGCCGGGGATGAATGCTGCGGTTATGAGCTGAAAGTAAAGGTGTACACTACTCATGCATTAAGACAGAAAATTGTGTGTGTATAACCTTATTCGGTTGACTTTCATCCATATCATGTACCATATCATGAGTTTATCCAGGTTCATGCCAAATATACTTGTGACTGAGATTGGGAGTTATGACCTAATTACCTACATGTTACGAGGACATGAACTCATTTGAAATGATGGAATGACCTCTCAATCGACCGTGACGTCCCTTGCGACAAGAAGTGAGTACTGATGAAACCCAGAATCCTCATAGGAATATTGGACGTACATTTGTGACAATGCCATGCACTTCTTGTGATGTTAGCTGTTCAGGTTCCTGTGATCTCGCCATTCTGCTGTCTGATCCTTTGAGTTCTGTTCACAGAAGAAAAAATATGTTTGTATTGTATTTGATACAAGGATGTGATTGTTGGTGTTTACAGAAGATTACGTCAATAAAACGTAACATTAGGTCGGTAGAAAACACATTTACATTTTCAGTTAATGATGATTTAAGCACTTGGTTATTATATACTGTAAGGTTTGAAAGTTGCTTGTGTTATTTGCTGTGTAGTCCTCCACCATGGTGGTGTAATGTACCTGGGATGATGCTATGTATCATCTGTCGGAGTTGTTGCCACCGCCCTTCATGCATCTGAAACAACAACAACACTTGCATTAAACGGTTCAGCAGAATATGTGTGTGTACATATTTGCATCTGTCTATCCATCAACCACAAACACATACACACACTCACGCACACACACAGTTGGACGCACGCAAGCACACACACACACACACTCATGCACTTACATACATAAACACAAACGCGCGCAGGCACATGCGCGCACACATATATACAAACATGGATACATGTGTGGATAATTGGAGACTATATTTACTGTAACGTGACATCATACCATGATGGTTTCTCGTTCTCTCCTTATCGTCGTCAGCAGATCTGAAATAGAATACAGACCAGACCAATATAAAATGATGTTGATGGTTAATTGTCTCTTTACAGCTTATATTCACAATTAAATCAGTTGAAAGTATTATATTTCTTTGCATACGTGAAACATAAATATAGCTTAGTAACAAGTATTCTGTTTTATGTAAAACTATTCAAACTGACTGAATCATAAACGCAAAGGTCCAGTTCAATTAGTCAAACGAGACAAGGGTCCATATCCGTTAGTAGTATCTAAACGTAAACTGTCTTGATTTATATTCACCTTGTGAAGTAGGCTGATAATCTGGAATATGATCCATGTTGAGACTGGAGGCGAGACCACCAAATGTGTCGATAAGTTCCTCCAGGGCTCTCTGGCCTTGAAAGGTAAGAAGGATTCTTGTGTCTTGTGTGTCATCTTCTGAAAGCTCCCTCTTCATATTTTCATGACATTTCGTCTGGAGTACATCTGTGAGAGTAATGAGCTCCTCTCGTCTTGTAGATTCAAGTGTTCTCTGGGTGTAGTCTATCGCCGATACTATTGAAGTATGGACGTCATGTAAAGTGTCAAGTTTCTCTTCAACCATTTCGTTTGGGGCTTGGAGACTCATTTGAAGTTCTTCCATGAGTTGTTTCTGTCGATGAAGGAACTTTGCAGCAACACTTTTGCAAACTGCCATGATGTCCTCTTTCAGCTTTCTCTGCGTCTCTGCCAGTTGATTTTGGTGACTGGTGACACTTCCCATCCTGTCAGTGACATCTTTCAGTTTATGCTGCTGCTTCTGTACTTGCTGCTCTAGCTGACCCTTTGCTACGTCATAGGCCTGATTGAGGTCTTCATTCTGGTGATCCTTGTGGGCCCCATGCACACATATAAGACAGACAGCTTTCTTACACGTGTGGTCATACAGCTGCAGTTTGTTGTCAGGGTGGTCACTGCAATTACCTTCCTCAGCCACAGCTTCATGGAGATATTCTCTGTCTGGTTGATGTCACTCGTCCAATGGTTTTGATTCGGTTTCAGTTTGTCATGCATGTTATGACAGTCGGAACAGAGGCGTACATTACATTCGTGACAGAACATCACAGCCGGTGTAGCATGATCTTCTTCGGTGTAGTTGCATTTCTTCCCTTTGTCAACATTTTCAGAGTAGGCAGCTTCATTTCGTCTGACATGATCTACTGTTGTCTGTTCCATGGTGACCTCGCGGCCACAGGAAGGACAGTGGATGCATTCCTCTTCCATTCCTGTCTGTGAAGCTCGGTAATCAAGGCATGGCTTACAGGCAGAATGAAGGCATGGAAGAAGACGAAGCTGACTCTCATCACAGCAGGACTCAGTCGAAAACTGGCACACTGTCTCAGTGGAACCTAACAGCATAAAAATAACACAAAATGTAGTTAGACATTCACAATTTTGTTGTAATTAATGTTATGGTTTGGTTAACTTTTCGTGAGGTTTTTACTCACCTTACTCAAAAACTACATTTACATTGATTGAATGATGGATTATTGGCCTACCATAGTGAATTTTGAATTATTAGTTAACGATTAAAAACAAAGTTGTCAATATAAGCTATCACTGTGTCCAGACACAATTACATCTTAACTGTCAAGGGTGTAAGGCGACTAATTGGAACAGCCACCTTGCCATGCAAATGTGCCAAATTGGAAAACGATTGTAGTTTTTTTAAAATGTGGCCAAACACGGCCCTCGAAAGTTTTCTGCTAGACTGTAAATATACATGACGGATTCTTGGTCTTAATGTACCTGCACGTTGGATTTGCTCTGTATTGTCCACCCTGTCTGAGACTGTGACCTTGAACACCCACTAGAGCATCGTATGCCTCCTGTTTCTTCCCGCAGTGTCTGAAACGACAGATATCGCTGCATCTCATTTGTAGTTTTATTATTATGCTGTGCATGTAATTGTTCCTCTTTGTTTCAGACGTTGTCCAGATTACGACTTACAACACATAGCATTACATCTACCCACCTTCTCCACGTTCTCACATTTTGCTTGAGACTGCTGCAACTCATCATTTGACTTTGACAATGCTGTCTTCACTGAAAAGACAAAGATGCGAGGATTGAACCTGATATCAGTTTGTCACATTCCAGAAATTGATTGTCATGTTTTATTGTAAATGTAGTCATCATATCTTTCCCCAAATATGACAAACAGCAATATTACAGGCATCACCATCGACGCTGACAAATTAAACTATGTTTTCGAAATGGCGAATATAAATTATGTTAAACAATATTTACTGTATTATTTCACGAAATAAGGTTAATTATGACATCACAGTAAAGGTGACATCCAATTTCATCACAGATAATCGGTATCGACATAAGAACGATTAGGTTTGACATCGTCATCGATGTATTCTTCTGTCAGCATATTCATGGACAGAAAATTTCTATTCACAAAAGCCAAGTCAGTTTGACTGTCATGTGGGTTGACTGTCATCATCCCACTCCATGACTCTAACGATCCCAAAAAGATCATGGTCAAGAATAGTTGATGTGGTGACATTCTCGCTAACGTTTTACTGCCAGCGGTAAAAACCCAGGCAAAATCGTAATTTGTCGGTAAACATTTCACGTAATTCACGCACAGGCCGTCTCTGGTGTTGCCTGGCCCCGTCGATCTACACTCTGCACCTCCATCATTCCCACAATTCGTGATTTTGTCTGGTCATATCTCTGAGGTGCCTGCCTGCATTTTGCGATTGTGAGTTACTCCATGGTCGCACACATTTTGGCTTCTGTGTGCACATTCTTCTGTTGCTGCGTTCAGATGCAATAATTGATAAGGTAAATATATATCTCAAATATATGTACATCCAGGTCATTAGTTCTCCCATTAGTTTGTTGGTAATATATGTTATAAAAAATAGGTATCAGCTTACGAGCTTCAATTTGTACGTTCTTTCCTTCTATCTCTGACATGTGTTCATCACTTTCTTTCTTCATTCTTTCCTCCAGTTCAGCATGGTCAATGTTGTTTTGTTCAATATGTTGCTCAAGTCCTTCTATTGCCTGAAAACAAACGTGAACGCCCAGTAAACAAGTATATAACGACATCTTGTAAACAAACGATCTGACATTTTATCACATTAACACGTCTTATATAAGTTTCAAAGTAGCTGAAAGATTACGTTTTAAGATTAGTACCGTTGGGAAACACTAAATGCCAGTGCAGTAATCGTCTGATCAAACTATTCACAAGAGAAACGTCATTAAACAAGATAAGAATACAAGATTGCAATGCATAATCACAACTTACAGATTTCAAGTCAGCTATCTCTCCATCTTTTTTAGCAAGTTCCTTTTTGTACTGAGCTTCCAGTTTGTCCTTGTTAACATAGACGAGATCTGTGTTACCTAAAAATATAACAGTTTCCTTTTTGAAGAAAATGGTGTCACAAGATTTATCATATGAAGCGCACAGGGGAATATTCTGAGGCAGTTTTCATTCGATTAACTTAAATATATTATTGTGAAAGGCATTCTTAATTGCCACTAATATCGAAGGCACATCTTGGAGAAGATTGTAGTGCCACAATTTGACAACCATCATGCGCTCACAAGGCCGGTTTACACGAGAACACATGTCCCCAGAGAAGTGCAGTGATGGATTTCCCTACTTCTGGAGACAATAACAACTCCTCCATGGCCAACACAAAGTCAAGACCTGAATCATTTCAGGACGCTGTGTACTTCAGAGAGCTGCACTGTACAGAATCTTGCTGATCAGGAACAAGCGCTCGACGAAGTGAAACAGACCGTGTCTGATTCTGTCTGTGAGAAGACATTTCAATCAGTCATCCCAGTGAGTAGTGGCTTCACATCATACTGACATTATCGCCTCTTTTAGTAGCTTCAACCAGCGACTTTTGAATACTGCTTGATTCAGCCATTGAGGATGATGGGCGGGTACAAATGAGGCCCAGGGCAGGAAAACAGACTGGCATGAAACTGTCATTCTGTTAGAGTTGACTGCTGTCGCCTTGACAGAAGGCCTGTGACATTTGTAATCTCTTGGTACATAAAGTGAAGCGTCGCCATAATAACAGCTACTGCCAGTATTTATATATTTATGGTATATATTTATGTATATATACAGTTTTAACATTCTTACTTTACTAGGTTCACTTGGCAAATCCATGTCTTTGATGCCTAGATTTTTAGCAATATTTGTACGCACTTCTAGAAACCCTTGGAAGGTTTGCCTACCTGCTTCTGTTGAGATTTTATCAAGTCTTTCCTTGATGAAAGGCTGTGTAGTGTCGAGGACAGCACAGAGCGTCTTGTAACCTTCTACTCCCTTCTTTTTAAGCGTCTCCAACACCAGCTCACATTTCTCTGTCCCTAGCTTGTCTACACCTATGATAGTCTGTCTGTGTGAAGATACATTTCTCATACAAGGCATCCAACACAGGGTCGACCTGAAGGTTCTCCTTCAAAAATGTGTGTGTCTTCTGAAGGACAGCAACGTGGGAAAGGTCCATTCTGTTATGTCAGGTGGTATAAATATCTATAACAGCAAAATCACACGTTATCAATAAGAGGTATGTTTATTGTCTTCTATATTTAGTATTTATGAAATATAGGGATTTATAATGAGTTTCGAGGTGGTATAATGCAAACATATCAGCCACAAAAAGAAACTGTACATTGTTACAGTATCTCTAAATTTGAAAACATAACAACGGTTTTCACGTAAACTGTAATGGGTGGATATAGAGATCATAAAAGGAATGCAGAACAGCATGTTTAAAGTTTTCTTGGGGATATGGAATTGGTACGCCACAGATGCCACTTCATTTCATTGCAAACATTCTTTATAGGGGAGAGATCGTGAATGTGCGGGCCAAGGCAGTACTTGAACATTGTGCTGTTGAAGAAATGCCACAACAACCCTATCCGTGTGAGGACAGGCATTGTCATGTTTGGATGTCAATCCTGGGTTATGAAGTTAATTAAATTGCCACTGGTTCGAGAATCTGATGTCTGTAGCCCACATCAGTCAAATTGTCCTAACAACTAAACGTATTCTCTGACGTGCATTTATCTCATCCAAAATCACGGAACCAGCACTAATAGCGATTCCTCTCCTTGACATTGTCTTGCCCAAATACTACCCACGACGCTGGTAGACACGTTGACGTCAGTCACTACGGGAACAGTTAAATGTGGACTTGTCTGTAAAACCAACAGTCCTCCATCACAAATAAGGTACACGGAGATGATTTTGACAAGCCTTTGGCTCTTCTCTCGATGTCGTCGTATCAGGATAGGTCGTATGGCGGGACGACGTGGTTGCATCCCATAATGACGTTGAAGCTTTCCCTGACTTTGTCGCCGAGTCCAAGAATGGTCTGAGCAGTAGTAACAGTGGTGAACACTGCATTCTGGGATATGATAATCACCCACATCCATCTGTCATGTTTTAGCGCCGTGGCGCGTGTTTCCATGCCGAAACCACTGACATCTAGAAACGAAGCACTTGTATATCTCTTTAATTTGGTTCTCTAAATACTTTGTTTTCACGGATATTTGTGTGCATATGTAGTTCCAATGTAAACTAAAGGGCAAAAGAAACGATACCAAGGGAGCTTTAACTGTTACTTTGACGAACCACACAATATCATGTATATAAGCGAAACAGATGTGTTGTCAATATAAATGTCACATGGCATTCACTGCACAAGTGAGGTGATACATGCCCAGTATGAGGTCACACCACAATGAATATGACAATCATGAGAATATAAACTTATCAGTATCTCGAATGTCCACCACAGGCATCAACACAGGGGCCCAGGTCTACATCGTGCTAGGAATGTCAAACTCTTGGTAACGAGCAGAGATATTCTTCGTTACAGCGTGAAGAGCCTGGAAAAGCTGCTGTCTGTTTTTGGGCATCACAGGTCTTGCACGAAATTTTGAATCCAAATGATCCCAAAGATGCTCAGGTGGTGACTTGCAGGTGACAATGCAGGTTAGTGTGCCTGTGTGTGCGTGCGTGCGGGCATGCGTGCCGAAAGAAAACCACATCAGCTGGAAGTAATTAGAAATATTTTATGTAGCTGCACCTTAAGTCATATTTCCCTACCCCTTTTCGTTACAGCTCCTTATAAACACACGAACACAAATAGTGAACCTAATATCCATCATGGCTAGCTACTGTCTTGAATACATTCAAGGATTCGAACATTAATCTGCCATCCTAGTTTTTAAATAAGTCTACAAAACTAGACGTCCATGTGACCAAGAATCCTTACAGTACAGTTCTGGTTCTTACGAAGTAATGATTTAATGTATTGTACTGTATATTAAGACGTAATAACAACATTATCCAGGTATCTGGTAATTTCCCTCAGAACGCAATATATTTGTTTCGACGCAATTGTTTAAGGTTCCTGTGAACTAGACCACATATGCTTCACATAAATCCCTACTCTGGGAATAACCTTGATATGACACAAGAAAAAAACACCACACAACCCAAAATGTCCACTGCCATGTTGAACAATGAATCAAACCTGGAACATCAGGACAAGGGGCACGCCGCATATCTAACTCATCTGTTCAAAGTATGAACGCCTGTTCAGCCAGATACTGTTGAAAATAAGTCAGTGTTCAGTTAGGTGAAATTCGAATAGATCGATATTGAGAAAAAACGAGAATTTGTGGTCAGTCCAGTCCGCATGATAAACGGTGTTAAGAATGCTGTCTGACGACATACATAATGCGTGCAGCTTTTAATACTGTGTGAAGTCAAATTAAGTTCATAGTGT